TACATATATAAATTTCATACGGGAAGGCTGTGTCGCTGTGTGGTAAAATAATTTTATTTGTAGTTTAAAATTTAATTTTAATTTAAATTTAGTGAAAAATTATACTTATTATTTTGTGTTTTAAAATAAAATGAAGATTTATAAGTTATATTAATTAAATTTTATATTTTGTTTGTAATATTTAGTAAAAAAAAGGTGGTTTTGAAAAAATTGTATTAGTTTCGGTCTGTGTTTTGACGCGTGTATCTCAAGTTCGGCTGATATTTGATATTTGAGTTCTGGTTGTTACCGAAACTAACTGGCGAGCATTTCAGGGAATTCGGGTAACACAAAGCGAAATTCTACTAAGAGCCAAATTTACATCTAGGTATGTTAACTATAAGCTTAATAATGTCCTAAAAACTGGAAATAAGTACTTAACAGACATTTTTATAATATTCTATAACATTTTCACTTAACTAGACTGTAATGTGTATTGCGGTCGGCTATGTGCTGATCACATCAGATTTTTTTTTATATGTACTATGTTTTATGATGTGCGATAGTTACAAACTGCATCTGACCTGCAGGTAGACCTCATAAACCCAGAGTAATAAAATTTAAAACATGTTCGAAAGGTAAGATAAATATTTATGTAAAAATTTTAGAGCGTTTGAATACGTAAGTATATGAAATTTGTATGCCAATCATGTAGATGGTTACCATTCATATGTAGAGTTTTTTAATGTAACATACCACCATAACATTCTTATTATGCTTAACAAATGTTTGTTTTCCTTGGACCGAATTATTTGATATTTGCCATCAATATAGAACATATCACTTCGTTTACCAAATCAGACATTTTCTTTTCAATTATGTTTCATACTTACTTCTGTGGTTATACTTCAAACAGTCTGTTGGGTTTTTAATCCACACTATGATGATATTCCCTTTCTGACGTGAAAAATTTTAATTTCACTGCTAATATTATTTTTGAGATTTAATACTGAAGCTAAAAGCGTTTTTAAGTGATTCTTTTCGTCGTTCGTATGACCGCATAACCAAATTTTTTATTAAAGTAAGCTCTCGATAGATCAAAATAATAATATATGAGCTAACTCATTTTCATTTCCCAAGTAGAAGTTTTTTGTTGCTAAACAATATATGTATTTAAGTGTTAGAGATTTTCATAATTGTAATACTGCAAAAACATAACGTAATGGATATTCAATATATTTTTAGCTTTCTGTAAAAGCAAAAGAGTTCATATATAATTAACCTGCGCGCGTTAATTAAAACATTTTCATTATATTCTTACTCATTATTTCGCAATGTTTTTAAACAAATTCGTTTAGTAACTTTTTTTAAATGAAAATTATTCAAACATAACGCAGTCACTGTATATCGTAATATGCTGAGTTTAGACGCGAACTTTATATTATAATGGGAACATGGCTGTTGAAATTAATCGTTTTTCTTTTAGGCGGTACGTTATAGAACTCTTACGTTTTAAATGTCGCAAAAATTAATAAATATAATATATTTTGTTTACCTTCTGCTCCTTTCAAATTATTTCTTCTCGAACTAAGAAAAATTTCAATTTTCGGCATTATTTTTTCTAAATTGCAAAATTTCTGTAAAAGGCTAAACGATAATTCTTTCATAAAAAAATATAATTATATTATGGCTAGTTAAAATTAATTGTCGAATTCGACAATTATTTTAATGTTTCCTTTAATTTTTAATATTTCTCTGAAAAATATGCAATAAAATCTTTTTCACTTGTTCAAGAGAAAAGTACTATCTACCATGTTTTTTAAAATTCAGTTCTAATTTTTCTAGTATAGTAAGTACTTACATGTCTGTTAGATTAAAACGAGATGCCAAAGAATTATTTTTAAAGAGTAGGAGGGTATAAAGAGCTGAATTAGCAGTAATAAATATGAAAATTTTGGCAGTTGTATTTTCTTTGCTGCCCACTATGATTTTTTTTAAATAAACTTTTTTCTAAGAACTTTTCTGGTTTTAAAACCGGACAGCCATTTCAGATTTCTTTCATGCCTTGACGTAAGTAATATTTTGCTTTTTTTTATAGAACTGTCAGATAAGAACGGAATTTTCAAAAATATCTTAATTATTTTATTTTTTTTATATCACGAACCGTTTATGGACAAGCAAAATCTATTTTAAGTTATAGATTTCAGAGTTAATTATTGCGTAGAATTTTGGTTTTTTTATATGTATTTTCCATCTGTGTATATGCATAGAATAAACACAAGAGTATTTTATGATAAAAATAAAACACATATTTCGGTCTTCCCATCCTTTTGTTTTCATTTATAGTTCTTTTTAGCGGTACTTATTTTGTTCTTTTTTTGTTTTTTTTATTCTTAATTAATTGAAAATATAATCTTGATATGTGTAATTTATATGTATAGTATATTTATATAATAACTAACACCAAGAATAAAATTTTTATTTTTTCATTCAATAATGCTTTTATTTTTTGTTATTTTTACTGGATAAAATTTTCGAAATAAAATATATATATATGCTTATATGTAATATATATGTATATATAAATACACATAATCAAAGTTAATATATATACATATATACATATATATATATATGTATACATTTACAATATTAATTTATTCATAATATTTATCTGCACACATGATTGTATATATATATATATATATTTAAAAAATATATATATAGCATTTGTATTTAATTCATATTTTAATATTAAATAAGTACTTTTAGTTATTACATACTTTTATTTTATTAACATAATATATAATAAAACTATAAATTAAAATAAAATTTATACATAAATTTAAGTGATTTTTCATTGTAAAAGTGTCCCTTTCTTAGGCATTTAAAACTTATATACATACCTATATTGTCATAAATTAATTTACATCTAGGTAATCTGCATATATTTAGGCTTTTTTTGGTTTTGATATCAAAACCTTGATGTACATATTATGTGTGTATGTTTATCAAGTTAATTGTGTACTTATTTAAAACATTACTGACTTTGAAACATATCTAATTAAATTATAAGTTAAAATTTTTTAACATCAATTATATTAAACCATTCATTTGTTCTTATAAATTTAAAACTTTAAAATTGTTTAACTCTAGAACATAATTTAGGATTCAATAAAAAATAAAATAAATTTTAACAATATAAAGCTAGAAAAATCCTAAAAATTTTAAAAATTTTATCGTAAAATAAAATTGTGTAGTACGAGATTATGTATAAACATAACACAAATAAATTTTAACAAAATATATTAGAAACTCGTTAAAATTTTAACGAGTTAGTTAATTGATTTTTTTTCTGTTAGATTTCCTTTAATTTTTGAAGAAAAATTTAAGCTTACTGAAACAAATTTATTACCAAACAATATATTATGTAATATGGTTTGGTAATAACTTTGCTAATATTACCAAAATTGCGTAGCTTAATTAATAAGAATCGTGCATTCAAATAGTGAGAGCAAAATTTAGAATTTGTCGAGCTAATAATTTTTTTATTAAAATATTTAAATACCGTATAATTAACATTTGTAGATTAAACAGAAAATTTTCCAATGGAAAAAAAAATATTTTTCAACTAAAATTGTATTTAATTATTTATTTAAATTCAATAAATTCGTATAGAAAAATATTTTTATATGCGTAATTTTTGGGCGCGTGAGATATAGAATAACTTATATAAATAAAAGATATAGAATATACAGGGATACAGAAATTTATTTTGTTCTTATTTAGTGGAATATTTAGTTTAATTCAAATAATTAAAAAATTGTTTATATTTTAATAAATATAGCACTAACTGTTGTTGCTTTATTTTCCAATTTGGTTGCTTTGCAATTTTTACAAATAGTATGTAATTTATTTATTCAATTCTTGTATGTAATTTATTTAAGAAAAATACCAGAATTTTTAATATATAGCAAATATAGAAAAATTAAAAATAATTATTACTATATTTGTACATAATATACATAATAATATAATTTTATACTTTATATATTTTTTATTATATATATATATATCAAATATAGTATAAAAAATTACTGTAAATAAATTAATTTCATTTTGTTTTTTTGAATTTCTCAAATTTAAAATTTTTGTAATTAGTTTTTGTACATATATGCATATTTTATATAATTATAAAATATTAAAGTTTTATAATTTATATATTTATATATATCGCAATGTTGTTATGCAACTATTTGCTTATGTTAATTCAATTTTTATTAAGTTGTTTTTTTTTTTAATTTACCTCAGCCAGTATTTTTTTTTTCTTTAAAAATTTACGTTTTTTTTTTTAAATTGTATGCTTATAGCTTTAGTTTTAATTATATATATTAATGTTAAAATAAAATTAATATAATAATAAAATCAATATATATATATATATATATATATATATATATATATATATATATATATATATATATATATTTATATATAATGCGTTAATTTGTTTGTTTAATACACATATTTCATAATTGATTTGGTTTTTTATTTATAATATTTAAAATATGATATGTTTATTTATTTTCACTTTATTTTTAATTTTATATTAATTTAATAATAAAATATTATTTAAAACATTTTTGTTTTCTTTTCATCTTATCTTTTAAATATATATATATCTAAATCATATATATCTATTTAATATATATTTGATTTTATTTCATTATTTTTTGAATTTTTAATTTTATTAATTAATAAGAATTATTATATGAATTTATAATATTTAAATAAATTTTAGGGTAAGTAACAACATTTATAAAAAAAAAAAGAAAAAAAATTAGGATTTTTAATTTGAATTTTAATAATTACGCATTATTTAAAAATACATTAATTTTTATTATATATATAATTAAGTACATAAATGAATTTATATATTGGAAATTTATATAAATAATTTATAATTTGATATGTATTTTGATTTTATTTTATAAAATTTAATCTGTGTATATGTAGATATATATATATCGCTATTATAATTAATATCATTGACTTCATAATATATATTTTATGTATATATGTATATATAAGAATTTAAAGTTCACATTTTATTGTATATAATAATTCTTATTTAAAAAATTTGTTAACGTAATAAATATAGAAACATTTCATTTTCTTAGTATTTTTATTATAATAAAATTACAATTTTGATTTATTTAGATATTATATAATTTTTTATACGTGTAAATAATAGTTTTAATTAAAACAAAAATTTTCACTAAAAGTATAGATTTAAAAATAAATTGAATTTAATTATTATAAATGCTGCACATAATATTAAAAAAACAAAATATTTTTGCATTTAAAATTTAAAAAATTTTAGTTTGTTTTTTTTTTCTTGATTTCTGTTAAATGTAATAAATTAAAAAAAAAGGAAAGCTGGAATATGAAAATAAAATTAAGCTCGTGTTCAAGGTTTTTAATACTTAAATCAGTTAATACTATTTGCTGTGCTAGAAATTTAGTAATCCTTTGTACGGTAAACAAAAACCTCTGTTTGCAACAATAATAGCACATAAGTCAAAATTTTTAAAAGTAAAGGCTAATATTAAGTTAAAATTTTTCAAAGTTAAATAAACAAGAATGTCATTATTTATTAAATGTTAGATTCAGTTTTCAAAATCAAAATATTTTAGGTTATGTACAACAGCTGCAGCAAAGAAATTATAATTTTGTACTCAAAATTCTGTGATGGAGTTTTGCAAAATTATAAACTTAAAGTTAGAAAATGGTTTTCCGGATGTAGTTCTGGCCTTAAAATGCAATCATGAATTCAAACTAATTTAAATTAGAAATTATACATGTAGTCTTTATAGATATACATATTTAAAAAAATATTTTGTTTTATTTATTTTGAAAAATTTTTATTTTTTAATTCAAACGATAATAATTATTAAGTATTTTATTGTAATATTATATCATATGAATGTAAGCAAGCTTATAGAATTTTCATTGTTTTCAATTTCATATAATATTTCAGAGATAGTTTATTTTCAGTTTTTTTTTTCAGTGTATGTGGATTTTTTAATTCATTTTTTTTTTATAATTCATAATTTTAATTTATTTTTCCTACCGAAATTTTTCATTAAATTTTCTTTATATTTTATATAATGTCTTAATATTGTGTATATAAATTTATATATATATATATATATACAATATATATTGCATATGTATATAAATCATATGTATATTTGATATGTATTTGATATAGAGTTTTCTTATAAATTAGAGAGTGTAGCCATATGTATATAGATATGTATTGATTGTGTATACATATAAGTGTATATACATATATAAGCTCTACTTATAATCTAATTTTGGTTTTTTTTTTTAAATAAAGATGACACAAAATATTATTTTTAGGTATTTGTTCTTTTTTTTTTACTTTCATCTTAATCCTATTGATATGTATGTATATATATTTATTTTTTTTTTTAATTTTCTTTTAGATATTGATTTTATAAGATAATTTTGCGTTTTTGTTTGTTTTTTTTTTTGTAATATTGAAACTCTTTCCTGGTTATATAAGTCAACGATAAGTCAACGATATCCTAAATTGATATTGTTTTTTCTTTGTATATAATAATTGTATATAGAATTAATAATTTTTGTTTTAAAATTAAAAATATTTTTGTGTAGTATTCTGTATAACATTATTGATATGTTTTTTTTTATTTCCATTTATATTGTATTTCCTTACTATTTTCCGGCTTTATGTATGCTCTTGTACATGAAAATTTCTATTTATTTACTTGTGTGTGTTTGTTTTTTTTTTCTTAGTATAATATTTTTATTTAGAGATTATTAAGACTATTAAGATTATTGTAGTGTTTATAACCAGATGTTATCCTCTTTTCACCAGCTGTATGTTGAATTTCATGTTTAATTTGATCAACAGCAACACTGCCGATACATAATAACGGATCTTTAAAGTAGGAACATACTTTACGTGGAGCCTGACGATGACGTCTTTGTAATTGACAACATAATCCTCTGAAAAGATAATTTAAAATTAATTATTTATATATGCCATTTTATAGTCAAATAACAACAAAAGCTTAATTTTTTTAAATCAAATTTTTTGACTTGCAATTATAATAAACATGACGTAAAATATCGAAAAGGAATCAACATGTACAGGATATTAAATAGACTTGTCGAAAATAGATTTCCCAAAAAATTATTTTTAATTATTAGGAAATCTTAAATAAGAATGAAATAAAGAAAAATAAATTTGATATTGTAATTAAAATCGGAATAAAATTGCAATATCTAATAAAATGTATTCCTCCTTGGCGTCTTACAAAACGATTCTATTTAGTTGGAGTTTTTATTCTCGTTCATGTATTCCCATGTTTCTTCGGCTGATCTACCAGTTTCTTTAGATAGGTGGTTTTTGCATAAAGTCAAAGGAATTCTCTATAACATCAAGGCGGAGGTGTTAAGAGGCCAAACTCAAAATTTTTTGGCCGACATTATTTAAATATCCTATGTATAGAGCAGGTATCATTCTATAGAATTCTGTGTATATATTCAGAGTTATTTTCAACAACTACCGCTATGAACTCGCCCAAATATTTTTTGAAACTTTATTTTTCATTGATAGTTTGAATATTATTACTTTTCTTTTCGTTTTAGTTCTTGTTTTTCTATTAATTTGAAAATACTTTTTTGGAATTTAATTTTTTGTTTCTATTTTAACAAAATTATAACTAAATATTATAAGTAATACATATTAAAATATCCTTATGCACAAATAATTTTTGGGATGAACACATTGTCTTTCTTTTAGAACAATTTTAGTATTATATAAAAAATGTTTGTTGTTTTTTACAATACATATAAGATGAGCTCCATAAGTAAAAGTGCTTAATAGCAATAATTCTAAAATTTAATTTTAAGTTTTATAAATATTGCTATTAAAAACTAGAAAACATTTTACTCATTCATTTTGTTCATTACGAGGATAATACGAATTATGAAGATGACCAATAATTTTATTTCATTCCATACGGAATTTCTATTACGGATTCCTTGTAGAAAATAAGGACTTAAATTTAAATAAACTGAAAAAATATATTTGTTTAAATGTTATTTTTGAACATTTATAAATCTGTTATTGCTTGTTATTTGAATTTCTATTAGCATTTAATTATATTCTCAAAATAGCCAATATTTTTGTTATTGAAGAATTAACAAACATATTAATGTATATATATATTCTCACCTAGAAATGTCGCATTCATTTGATGATGTACACTCTTCGGCATATTGTTTGGCAATTGCAATTGGTGCTTGACAAACACTTGTACCTTTTGGCTCCGAATCACAAACTAAACCAGCTTCACAGTCAGCATCACGACGACACAGTTCTCCTAGCTTACGTCCCATCACATATATACATTGTCCTTCATATTGTTCTGTAAAAAAATGTTGTTTTATAAATAAAGTGCTCCTATTTCTTTCCACAATTAATAATGTGAAAAGTGGTTAATAATTAAAAGTTCAATTAAGTCACATCCCATCTACATTCTTAAAAGAAAACTTATATTTTAATTATCTGCAAAAAATACCTACTTTGATTTAACAATGTTTAAAATAAATTTTCGTTTGATGCTGGTAAGTGTAGGTTGGAAACAAGCTAAAAATGTAAAGAGATTCTTGCCATTATCTTAACATGTTGTGATATTGTTTACCGTTTATATACTTGTTATTAACAGTTTTCTCAGGAGAAAAGTTGTATTTTTATTTATTAAAAAACAAGGTATTATTAACAATCCTAATGCATACAATATAAGAGAGGCATTGTGTTAACACGAAATTTTATATACCGAGTTTTTAACAGAAATACATTTTGGGTCACACTAATGAAATTAATGTAAATAAACTATTTTTGGGGAGATGTGATTTGAACTGACTTTAAAAAAAATTTGTTTTCGGCTTATGTTGACCATGTGATAAATTGATAAATTTTTATGGTATATATAAGGTCTCAACAACTGGTTCATTATTACAAGCCGATTCAATAGCAACAGCAGTATTCTGCGGTTCATTTTTTTTATTCATTTAGAGAGATAATTAAAAATTCCGAGAATATCAGGGCTTCATTCTTTTCGGATCGATTTTACGATTAATTTACAGAATTCGTTGAAATTAACGTCAAGCTCGGATTGTCAATGAGATTAACTTACAATTTTTTTGCAGTATTGAAATATTTTTTTATTAACTTTACTGGAACATTTACTGGAATTTATATTATTTGGTCGGTTATGTTGCTGACCACATCAGATATTCATATTTGTATATATGTAGTTGAAACACAAAAAAAAATTCCGGTAATGTTAATAAGGATAAAATATTATCTAAAAATATATTTTGCAAAACACATTGACGTCATACTATTGACCAAAGGTAACCGACAATCTGATTTGTAAATTATATAGAATACTTTTTTGTACATCGTAATATTTTTCCTTTTGTGGCAAATTTTTAATAAGGCATAATGAATGTTTAATGTTTATGCAAAGTCAAGGTACATTAAAACCAGTACATATTTAGAATGTTTGGTATATATAGGACAATAAAATATTTGGTTTATTTTTAACCTCTTTCAGAAAAGCAAGGAAATACCGGTAAAGTTAATACGTTCACATATTAATATATATTTTTTTAAAGATGTTCTGTTTAAACTTGTATCAGTATAATAGGATATAACTATAGTAGATTAGAATATAATTTGTAAACATATCAGTTTGTCTTTCGAATATAATTGGTAATTACACTTTTCTTATAGTTATTTTACAATGAATTTTGATTTTATATGGATGCTATTGGTTACCAGTGATATGGGCTTTTTTAGAGTTTAAATTTTTGAAATAACTTTGAAATTAAAAATAAAATATTTCCTACCAAAAGAAATTCAATAAAATTATTATTTAATTTTTTTGTTTATGTAAATTTGTATTAAAAATGATTGAGTGGTTTCCAGTGCTCACTGGAAGAATTCTAGACTCATTTTGAATAATTGGATGAAAGCCTTGAACGAAAATTCTAAAAACGCTTCATTCAAAAATCAATTTCGCAGTTGAATATCATTACGTTACGTAACTAATACAGTACATTATTTAAGAACGACGTCTTACCAATCCATAATTACTAAAAACAAGTCAATGAACTATGACTACATCTCTATAACTTGTCCATAAATAAAATATAAAATAACACTAAAATAATACTTACTGGTGTATATACATATTTGAGCTGGACAACAGTCTTCATTTGAAAAGCATTGCTTATATTGGCATGGATCATCTCCAACGTCAATTTCATTGGTATAACCACCATTATCGTAATTCTGTAATATAAGAGAAATATTTAAAAAATCTTGTATATAAAAATATACCTAACATATATTCTAAAGATAACAAAAAAAAAAAACAAAATTTTGGTAATAATAGGAATTTATTGTTTTTCAAAGCCCAACGCTTATTTATTTAATATTTTGTTTAAGTTAGATTGGTAATAGCATAGGATATTAGGGGTTTTTTAAATATTACTGAATAATTTTTATATTTTTTAGTCATATTTTAAATTTGCTTTTAAATTACTCGAACAGAAGTAGTTCAATTCTAGGCCATTGTAAATTTGAAATAGGTATAGTTCTAAATATACCCTCTTTTCAGATTCAGTTGGCTAATTTGAAGGAAATAGAATAATAATGTTTTAGTTTAATCTATTTTCTAAATTTGATTCATTTTCTGCTCTTCGAATTAAATCTTTACCAAATAAAAAAATTAAAATTTTTACGAATAGAACAAATATTTAGAATAAGTTGAAAAAAAAAAATCTTAAGATTACTGAAAACCTTTCCAAATTTATATTTTTTTTCTGATTTCATAAATTTGTTATCTTCCTTATGCTTTTCGTTAAAAAAAGAAATTTTTATAAAAAAAATACCATATTTCAATTATTACATTTTGTTTTCATCATATTTTCCACAATTTTGGAGTGAGGTATTTTGTTTTGTTTTCTTCTTGTTGTGAGTGGGATACTGTGTGTAAGAATATTTTGGAAAAATGCTTAAAAAAAATAAAATTTATACTTTATATTCGCGTACCTAAACAAAAATATGAGCAGAAATACGTAAAATTCATATTTTATATTATTAAAATAAAATTACGTTGCATTCAAGTTCTTCTGTGAAATCTCTGAAATACTTTGTTTCCTTAAATTAATATGATCATCATATATTATTTTTTATCATTTATTTTATTTATTTTTTATATACATAACAACCATATTATTTTGTTTTTTTTCTGCTTTAAAAATTTAATATCTTTTAATAAAATATATAGATGGGTGGGTATTTTAGATAAACGAGTAGCTGATTATCTGAAGAAAAGAGGAAAAGGAATCAAAATAGAAATTTTGGTTTTGTAAAAAGGCGCGCTAAACATCATAACTCATATAAATTATTGCAATTACCCCTTGGTATTATGTAATTACAAATATTTATACAAGTATGTATATGAAATGAGTACCGTTCCCGTAATACTATTGTAAATATTTATTTTTATTAAAAATTATGAACTTAAATAATGTTTCATTTAATTCTCAATGTGAACTCAGAAATTTTGAAACTTCTCACTTTAACCCAAAGAGTCTATTGTGATTAATACGCCGATTTATATGTGAAGACTATTTAAAAGTCTACACGATAAACTTGGGTATTGGTGGAACACTAGACTGCGAAACCTTTTGCCATGACAGAAAGTAAAGAAAATTATTTTTTTAATGAAAGTTGGCTTAAAGAGTAACAAATTTATAAAGTCGAATGAAATATGAAATTTATTAAATTGCATAAGTATTTCATTAAGTAACAGACCTTTAATTATTATTGAAGTAAGGATTCATACTTTGTGAGATCTTCATGTCTGGAAGAAACTTTTACTCGAGCGTTTTTAAATATAATGAAAAAACAAAATCAAAAAAAAATTATTTAAAATCCGGAACTATAGGTTTTGAAAGTTTATCAAAAGGAATTTTTAAATTTTATTATTGTTATTATTTATCGTTGGTACTTAAATAGAATAAGTATTTTTTTTGCATTTACTGAAGCTCAATCAGTGAAATAGCGTTCTATTTATAGAGGTGTAATTTTATATTTTACATTGCTATTCGGGCTATTAACTAAAATATGCGGTATATTTTTAATTGAATATTTTTTTGTTTTGTAAGTCCCAGATTAAGAAAATCTGCTTAATTTTATATGGCATATACATGTGTACATATATTGGGTATGAATTTATACATGGTGTCTCGTAGCAAAGTGCTTATGCAATTGTATAGGCCCGCATGAGTGGACAATGTCTGCATGGTATGCAGACCATGTTTTGTATGGAGAAATCTGAACAGATTATAACTAATGTAGATATTCATAAGAAAGCCCTTATTCTGAGGTTTCCAAATCATATTTGTTAATGCGCCTGCCTTACATAATCTCGGAGTTATACTTTAAATTTCAAAAATTAAAAAAATCTGTTGAAATTAAATTTAAGCCGCTGTAGCTTCGAACTTGTTTAGCTGTGAACATGGTCTCCATACCAAAGTTTTGTCTACTCATGAAGGTCTATACAATGGCATACAGCAGTGCACCCCTGTATATGAACTAAATTATCATATTACTATTATAGAAGTAATCTGTATATATTTCTTCTACACGCATTCAAAAATAATATGATATGTTATATATGGGCAACAGAATATTCATATTTTATTCATATTTCAAAAAGGCCCTTCAATAATAGAAACTTTTAAAATATTCAAAAATATTCATATTTTATGTAGGCTGTATATTTGGATATGGTTATTTAAAATCTACATATTTATCTATATTTATAATATACCTATATGTAGACAATATGCTTATGCGTAGGTATTATGTTACGCTTTCAGATTTTAAATATACTAGCTATATCAAGAAATTTGAATTTCAAATATCTACTATACCTCAACTCTAGGGGAACATTCATGCAAATGTAATGAATATCAAAAGATTTTGTAACTCATTTATAAAATATGTATGTACATAAAACAATGTTTAATGTAATGTTATATATGTACTTTTCGTAAATTATTAGGTTTCCATAGGCTTTTATAAAATATTATTACTTATTTTGACGAATTTTAAATTAATTTTAAATAAATCTTGTTTATGATAGCCTATATGTACATATGTATGTACAAATATAGAAAAAGGATTATTTAAATTAAATAAAATTTTAGAAATTTTATCTGGGATTATTTTCATTATTGAAATCTTTCGGCCTATATTTATAAATTTTAACATAATTTTTAATAATACTCGTATCAATTTCTTGTTTCTTATTTGCTTTTTTATAAGGGTTGTCACTTTGGAAATTTTGTATGAAAATTGGTTTTATATTTCACTTGGAAAATTGAAAGAGAAGAGTCTTTTCAGAAGACCAATTCGGTTGATTTTTGAAGACTTATAGTATTTTTCACTGTAGGAAATATGCAATTTTCCCATTTATTATTTCCCAAAACGCATTTATTGCCTTTAGTGAAAATGTAAAATTTTCGTGCTGATTTTTACTTAAATGCAATAAAGTAACAGTTGCAGAAGCATAGAAGCGCTAAATCTGTAATTTAAACATTTAAATTGAAACAACAAACACATTTTCTTCTTGGCTGATTAAATTTAAATAATAGACTGGTAAGAATTTTATTTAATTTTTTATTTTACAATATTACAATATTTTACATACATACTCGTATATGTTTTCACAAATATCTAAAATGAAATTTCATAAAATTAAAAATTTATGCTATTTATGTTTACCTTTAAATAGAAGTAAGATAAGAATTACGAATTCCTCGGAAAATTCTTTTTTTTTCATTGATTTGATTTGTGTTTTCCATGAAAATGGTTAAAATTTTTTTTTTGCAGTGGTACATAATATGATGTTAATAATGGAAATGCTTTAGGGCTTGTATACATAAAAAGACATTTAATAATAAAAGCATTGTAGATAAACGTTTATAACATAAGAACAAGTATACATAAATTTAATATAATTACAAAATTTTTGAAGCTTAAACTCTAACTTATTAAAAATAAGTTTGAGTAAAATTGTAATTTCGACTTTTGTAGATTGCATCGAAGCAAATTATCGATCTACATATATTATTTTTTCAAAAATATCCCACTATATAACGAGGTCTTCTCAATAAAAATTTCTTACTTTATAATTCTGTTCTTTTGTTTAATTCAAAACTTTATGATATAAACACCCAATATACGGATAATATATGGAAGCTAATGCAACCAATGTGATGTAAATTATTGCAAAATTTAGAGATTTTAAGTAATTGACAGACAAGAATCAAAATTATATAGATTTTCATAATTGGGGATTTATTGAAAAATTTTTGTATGAATATTGTAAAAGGGTCTAAGATCACAAAATAATTTCATTTAATTAAGATAAAAGTTTAAATAATTTGATAAGCCTATAAACAGTTTTAGAATTTGCGTGTTTATTAAATGAAATTAGAATCTTTATCAAAATCTTTAACGGCAACAAAACTAATAATCACAAACACTGAATTTTAATATGCATTCGCATTCACGGAACAATGTATAATTTATTCAGTATTATCACATAATATAGTCGAATTATGTCACGAAGATCATAATTAATTTTTAATTTTATAATATCGTCATCAATATTTTACTTATGACAAATAATTCTTAATACCCTTAATTTGTTGGGATTATTACAATAAAATTAAAATAATGTCAAGGATTTATTACGAAAAAAAAAATTTTATTGTCTCAAAGTGGCAAAAAATATCCTTTACAATTATTATTATTTCCTTTTTCATTTTCGATTTCTTATGAACTTTTGTTTTATTCATATCTTAATTACGTTGCAGAAAAAACTCACAAAAAACTTAAGCAAAAGAAAAAAAATGATGCTAATTAACAATAAAAACGTAGATAAAAAGCCAAATGAGCATTAAATAACTTTTCTTGCAAAATAAAAAAAGCGGAAAACAGGAAGTAATTTAAGGCACTTGTTTAGATTTATTTTTGTTTTCACATAAGAGATGTATTTTTGTACCGAACCTATTTGTCCACAAATTATGTATAATCTTTGAAAAGCAATGTTTTTTGTATTCAAAAGCACTTTTTCTTCCGAAATATGGTCTTATTATAATTGAAGTTGTGAGGCAGCCATAAGAATTTATACAACATCAATATGACCAAAGTTTTTCAAAATATTGGCACTCAGAAAATTTGATCGAATTTGACTTCGTGCTTTTTTTTAT